CAAGAAATACAGAAAGATGGCATATACAACTGCAAAAATAAAACCCTGCAAAAATCCTGTGCTTTGTGTAGGGCTGTGCTCCAGAAGGCAAGTGTCCCACCGGAGACTAACTTTTGCCTTTGAGCGACTCTGGAAAAACTTTTTGATATAAGCTTAAGTACTGAGCACCCAGGATTTCATGATTAGGACTCATTGGGCTCCTTGTCATTTTTCTTAGATCACAGGGATATTATGGGAAGTTTTACCTTGCCAGTTCCAGTAATGCTTTTCCATAAAACAGATATGCCTCACCACATTCATCAGAACCAGAGCCATATTGACCATCTCTGTGCAAAATTGAAACGTGGTGGAATTTTAGCAGTTATCACTACTTGTAAATATAGTAGTTGGACTGAGTGGATTAATATTCAGGGAGTAATTGGGTGAGTAATTTCAAAATCAAATGAGTGCAAAGCACAAGGCTGAGGTGAAATTACAAGCACAATTACTCCCTGAATTGTACTACACGAGGTCCAATTACTAATTAGTCATATCAATAACAAATTTTGAGATCATTAAGAACTTCCTTTGAGTGAAAAAGTCAGTAGAGTTTTCTATAAGTTATCAAAACTGCAGGGAACATCAAGAAGGAAGTCATTTAAGCTCACGTAATTGGCATGCAAGTGGCTTGGGTATCCAATTACAGGTATCCAATTATAAATAGTTAAAAATTGTATCCTTGTAATTGGACACCCACAAGATCATGCACTGATACCTTGAAAAAAAGGTGCACAGAGAACCAATTATGATTCTGAATTTTGCTAAAGATACGATTACAAACGTAATTGGTTCCAAGCTTGTGTTTTTGCAACGTTGGGGATATGTTACACAGCCTAAAGTGTCACATTTGATCATCAGAAGTTTAAAAGTTAAAAATAGAGCAAACATGAACTAATCGTAGCACTGAGTTTGAAGGCAAAAAAGTTTGGTAACAGCTCGCAAGTATGGAAAAAACAATCTGGATTTAAAATGTACCTCCCATCTTCGATCCTCTATCCCAAAAGCTTTTGATAAAAAAGCTGTAACGTCGATGTCCATAAGATTGCTTGGACATAAAAATTTAATGGTTAGGGACTGGACTTCAAAGTCTTCAAAATTCAATGACCTCTTAAAGATTTTGTACTTTTGTACTACGGTACAAGTCCACGTGCATTTATCGGAACTCTTTCACGATCGAAGGCATTTTGACAGAGGAAATTGTCAAGTTTAGAGTCAAGACATTGCTGATCAAGATGAGAGTGAAGAATTTAAAGCTTAAAGTACAAGTTATCGAAGCCAAGTTTTTAAAGGGAAAGTGAAACGACAAAAATTTGCGGTATATATAATTATAAGCTTGCTATAAATCTTATTGTGACGAACAAATTCCCTTGAAGATTTAAAAGCTACCAACTACAAACTGCATAGAATAATCTTAAACAAGCGCAAAGCAGTTTACTGCAAAATAAAACACGTACAGTTTCTGGGTCGCCTCCTCAAAGCATTTGACAGCTTGCAAGACTTCACTACAAACAAGATGTCGCTTTCCCTGCCCCATCAACTTCGAGACTTCCTCGCTGCAAAACACGAGAAAACAACGAGATTAATTTAAGAGGACTCTCCGAAGATACAGCTATAAATTTAGTGAATGAGATAACTGTGAATATACAGACTTGGCTTTACCTAAAGGAAGATTCCGCAGCAGAACTTTCTGTTGGGGCAGCCATCGTAACGTTTGATCAAAGCATGCATAAGATTTCGCGCTACTTATTCCCGCGAATTGACGTCATGCACACGTGATCCGTGACTGACCATTCGGTACCAGTCTCACTAAATTTCTCTGGCTATGCACCACGAGTGGAAGCTTGGGAGAAACTCAGACGGACTGTTGAAAAATAAATAAATAAATAAATAAATAAATAAATAAATAAATAAATAAATAAATAAATAAATAAATAAA